AAATCCCCACTCTGTGCAACTGGGGACTCACCCAGAGAAAAGTCAAAGGCGTAATGCTGGCGGCAAAGATCTGTCCTTTTCTGGAACCCACAGTCCAGAAGCCGAGTTCTGAAGAAAGTACAACGTCCCCCTGTCGATTCACAGATTCCTTACAAATGCCCACATCCCATATTTTGCTGGTGCCCACATCCACCTCCCAGTAATGGCGGCAGGAAGTGAAGCGAGAGGTCTCCAGGACGCACAGTGCGGAGCTGAACCTTTCAGCCTGCTCTTTCCTGTTCTGTCTGAAATCTCCACATCGGACGCTCCTCAGGTCTTCAGAAATGGTAAGAGTTGCTGGCTGTGTCCACATCCAAGGTCATATCCACTTGAAACTTCTTCATCCTTAGAATAGATTTCAGCTTGGGCTCTAATTCCTTGATGATGGAAATCAGTGCCCTCAGCTTGTACTTGGGCTTGATGTCATTCTTCTGAGAGGCCACAGTGCATAAGGGGCATAGTACGCCTTCCCCATGGGGCTCCTTCTGCAGTGAATTGATGAATTGGAGGCAGCAGGCATATCCACATTTCAGTTGCACCGGTTCTTCAAGATCATTTAGACAGACAGGACATCTAATTACGTGTCTGAAATGTTCAGCCATGGCAAAGGTCTTTCCTTCCCGAGTTTCTAACCCTGGCCTCCAGCTGCTTCTGCTGACAGCTCAGATCTCTCTCTCTCTCTCTCTCTCTCTTTTTTTTTTTTTTTTTAACTGTTTATACTGGCTTAAACCATGCCAAATGTAGTTTACAAAGGGAAAGGACAAGTACCTTTGTATAGAATATACAGACACAGCATCTGTATAGGGCCCACAGGAGTGTTGGGGAGACACTTTTTTCCCTGGGAAGGGCAGCTCTAATCCCAGGAATGGTTCTCAGCAGAGGCTGGGTGGCCAGGAGCACTGTCCTCCAGCCCCCCATCTCAGCCTCTGCTTCAGCTTGGTTCCCGTTTCCTGCCTCTAACCCCCAACTCCTTATAAAAAGCCCCATGAGCTAAGACTAAGGAGAGGATCATGTCCCTTGGGGCAAGTGCCCCATGTCTGGGAGAAGAAATATACACCACTGAATACCGAGCACATGGGAGAGGGAAGGGACACCACAGGAGAGAGAGAGGCAGATATCCCAGAGATGGATGGGCCGAGTCCCCAGCCAACCCTGAAGGAGGCACTGCTTCCAGGTGTTCTTAAAAAAAGAAGGAAATCATACAACCAAAGAGGGAGGGGACAGGTAAGGGCGAGGAGTTGTCCCATTTATATACAACATTGTAAACATACGTGGTCTATATTACATGTGCTTCAGCCTGGTGTCTGCATGTCTGTCTGTCCGTCTGTCAGTCTGGGGGCCGGATCTCAGGAGCCATGCTCCACTACTCCCCCCACCCCCACCTCCCTTCCCCACCCTGGGAACAGAGCTGGAACAGGTATGGTCCCCAAACCATAGGTGGGAGCCAGCAGGTAGTGCCTGGGACACAGCCTCTACTCTGGCTCCAGAGTCCTGCATGTGTAAATGTGTGTGTACATGTGTGTGAGTATGTGCATGTATGTACGTGGGGAACCTGTGTACAAGTATGTACAAAGGGAGAGGGTCACTGTCACAGAGGTTGGGGGCAGGTGGGGCTGCTGGAGGCAGAGGTACTGGAGTCATGAGAGGTATTAGGCATGACTTCTGGGCCAAGCAGTTGGGTGTTCCTTAGTTAGAGCCTACAGGGAAATACAAAGAGGACCAAGACAGGACAACAGTGCCTTTGAGCAACCTAAGGCACTTTTGCTGTTCTGATCAATTACCCTGTACCAGGATGTGCTGTTTCCCTTCCACTTTAAGAGGCAGGTTTGGGTTCAAACACAAGAGGGTCACTGAGACATGGAACATGGCATGGGGTAGGTGAGGGAGGTAGTTTCTAAGGTGGTCAAGAAATGGAGGAAAACAGATTCTGACTCACCTCTATCCCTCTTCCCCGTCTCTTATCTCACACTCCCCAGTTTGAACTTGACTTTGTTCTTAGGGGCAGCCTGGTGGCATGGAAGGATCCTTGGCTGAACTTACAGTCGGGTCATCCCTTGGCCACTTCTGCTTCCACATCTGTAAAATGGTGATGTAATGCACACGGTTGTGGTGAAAAATTAAACAACGTACATGAAAGTGTTTCTTACACCAACACAATGTTTTGGCTTAAGGCATTATCATTAGATATTTAAACCAAGGTAGATTTCACAAACATTAAGAAAAAAGAAAAAAGGTTTATGGCAATGAAATTTCATTAGAAGTCTATCAGGCCCTGGGGGAACCTGTCAGAGGCAAAGTGAAAGTTGATGTTCTTTCCAAGACTGAGAGAACACAGAAAGGGGGCGTAAAGGAGAAGACCCATGGCTCGGGGTCAGGCAGACTTAGCTTCTTATCTCATATTTGCCAGTTGCTAGTTGTGGCCTCTCAGACAAGTTCCAGCACCTCCCAGATACTCAGTGTACCCCTGTATAAAGTGGACATAATTCTTCCTTCCCTGACTTGTTGAGATAATTAAATGAGGTGTCCCCTGTGAAGCACCTTGAACACAGTATGCACTCAGTGAATGATATCATGAAAATGTGTTACTTCAGGTCATCCCAAACTAAATATTTTGGGCGTATATTATGGGCCAGGCACCAGGCTAGTTGGTGGGTGATGTTGTCTTACAGCACAGCTTTTCAGATAGATAGTTCTAGTTTAGATCCTAGGTTTACCACTTACCAGCTGGAGAAACGTATTTAACTTCTTTGAGCCCTCGTTTCCTTCTACGTAAAGTGAGGGAGAATAATATCTATTTTGAGAGATTATTGTAATAATTATGTAATCTATGTAAAGTACCTAGCACAGTACCTGACATGAACAAAATCTCAAAAATGGCAGTGGTTATAATTAATATGATCATGCTGAAAGTTAAAAGGAAGAGATGATGATGTATCAGATTTAGAGCCAGACACCCAAATGACTTTATTTATAGCATTAAGCCCATCCTTGAACCTAGCTTCTCTGCATTGACTAAAATATGGGATTTAATTTCTTGTACGCACATCTACACATCACTCCCAAAATACTTAAAGCAAGAGATTTCTATCGGCTGCCAGAGGGACATGGTAAAATATGGGAATGGGCAAGAGAAGACAGCTTTAGAGCTTTTCAGGGAAGTCTTTTGAAGATTTTAAGTGTTTTTGCCAAGAGTACATCCTCCCCACCCCCAGCGTCAACTGCCAGATCCACATGCCCTATGCGCATGCCTTTTCCTCTAAGGAAACCCTGCTCAGGTTTTCAACGTCCGCTGGCCCAGCTGTCTTAACTTAGAGCAAAAGCAGACTTGCCCTGTGTCCCCAGTGGCTCAGGGCTGCCCTGCTAGCTCTCTACCCTCCTCCACACTTTTTCTTTCTCCTTGCTTCCTGTTCCTGCCCCCTCGATCCAGCCAGACCCACAGCAGTTCTGAGTGTTTGCTTACTTTCACTCCTCCAAGAAGGACGGCCTTTTGCTATGGTCTCTGTCCACACCCATAGCTCAGAGAAAGCCTGATCAGTGTGTACACAAATCCTTTCTTGGCTGGTGGCCCTTTCCTTGGAAAGCCATTTACTAGTCCATAAAAGGGCCTGAACACTTAAAACAAACATGGCCTCAGTCGAACCAGAAATTTAAAATTGCGACACTTTAATTCAGGTCAACCTTCATTCTCTTTCCAATGCTGCTGCCTTACCCTGTCTGAGTGTTTCCCATGTGCATAAACCTCCTGCCTCCCAGTAGCTGCCACGCCCTGGTGGGCCTCTTGGTGCTAGGTGTGGGTTCATCCCCACTGAAGCATGACAGTGATGATAGCTAAGCTTTATTTTCACTCCATATGCAAGTGCTTACTGAGCACTAAGCTCCAGGCACTGATCTAGATATTGGGGGTCAGCAGAGAACAAGACAATAAAATCTCTGCCCTTATGGAGCTTATATTCTGAAAGGGAAGAAGTAATAAATAGATCATGCAGTGTCAGGTAGTGATACACGCTGTTCAGAAAATCCAAATCAAGCAGGACATGGTGACTCATGTGCTGTTCTAAGCAGGGTTGGAGCTGATTAATGTGTTGCTCTCCTTTGGTGCTGTTTGGTCCCAGTGTTCTTTGGAATCTGGAGAGGTCTGGACTTAAAAAAGTCAAACTACCATGAAAACGATTTTACCCAAAATTTTGGTTCATGGCCTTCATTGGATGACCTATTGGGGCAAACAAAGTAAAACTGGTGAGCTTGTATTGCTGTCTCATGGCTGGGGTTCCAAGATAAAAACTATTGAATCTTTGTTTCTGTGTGTGTATACATGCCCAGAACCTCTGTCTCCTGGGTTCAAGTGATTCTCGTGCCTCAGCCTCCCAAGTAGCTGGGATTACAGGTGTCCACCACCATGACCAGCTAATTTTTGTATTTTTAATTGAGGCAGTGTTTCACCATGATGGCCAGGCTGGTCTCGAACTCCTGACCTCAGGTGATCCACCCACTTTGGCCTCCCAAAGTGCTGGGATTACAGGCTTGAGCCACTGTGCCCAGTCTGTAAATATTCTTAATTCATGGCAATGTTTGTGTTTGCATATAGTTGAGCCGGGGTCACCAGGACTGCTGAGGAAGAGAGAACCCAGAAACCTGACACGCTGGCAAAAGGGCAAGAATTTCTTACATGTCGGACCTCTGGCCACTCTCTCTCTATGTACACCAGTTGAATGAATGGTAAAAGATTATGAGAAGGCATGGGAATATAAATTTTTGTAAACCTTTAACATAATAGGCTTCCCAAAATTAAATTTCAGCTTACATGTTTAGCTACATGGGAAGCACTGTCAAAATAAAAAAATGTTTAATTTTCTTTGGGTTATATTTCAGTGAATATTAATATATGTTACAAAATTGCATGGGATTTCTAAAATTCGAAATATGTCTGAGTATATGCTATCAATCATAATTATGTTTATTATGTTCAGTTACTGTAACCACAGAAATAACCAAATTTCCTTGTATAAAAGTGCTAACCCAAGTAGAATAAAAATTGACTACCAAGAAAATACTTTGGCAGATTTGCATGCTAAATCAGCTGATATTAAAATTGTTTAGATACACAATTTGAACGAACTCCATGGTCTAAGTCAAATTACCTATTATAACCCATCAGTTGTCAGTGCTATGCACCTAAATTGGAGAAACAACTGGTATTCAAGAGGACATAAGTCCAATGGTAAGCATGGACTCACAGAGAACCAGGACGGCAAGCTTGCCCTTCCTGAGTTCTTAAAGCTTTTGTTATTAAAGGTTATGCATTCCGTGACTCATCAGAGACAAGATAAAACGATCTAAATTAAATATATATTGGTGTGTTGACTTATACATCGCTAAAGTAGTTTATAACCAATGTTTTGTTTGTCAAATCCATATTCCTGGGAAGACAATCAAAGCTTCAGGTACATTTGGTTACCTCATGGGCCATTAATCATTTCAATTGTCATTTTCAATGCATGCTTTCTGGTTGTACAAAAGCTTTCCTATGTAAGAGGGCTGATGTTATAACAGTAGATTACTATGCTACAGTGTATTTTCACCAGGTAAAGAAAGCTTTTTATTGTTCACTGAGGACAGTCAACCCCTTTACAATCTAGAACCCAAAGACTGGATCTTATGAGAACATCTACTGTAAAATTATAGTTACACAACAGACTTTAAATCCTATTGTGAAAGTTATGATAGAATTGGCTGAACAGAGAAGTATCTGGGCAGCTGCTGGCACTTGTGGCCTATGGAGAAATACATCAAATGAAGATTATAGAGATTTAGTTGCAGGAATTAACAGAGAGGTTTCTTAGTTAAGTCAGTATATTCTTTAGCGCATTCTTTGATCTATTTAATTTTAGGTAGTTTGGTTTATGGGGACCCTGGGTACAAAGTATGCTCCAAACTCTTGGTATTATGCTCCCAGTAGTCATAATAATAATCTCCTTGTTGCCCTGTAGTCTCTCAAAGGCTTTACATGCTTGGATGCAGCTGTCTCTACAATGTCAAATGGTCTCTCTTCAACTGGAATGACAAGAGCTGAAAGAAATGTGCAACCATGAGGATACCATAACCTATGAATGACGTGGTGAGACTGGAAACCCAAAATGATGGTAAATGAGAGTGGTGCTAAGGCCCTAAACGTTGGTCACACTCTCACCCAAGTGAGAACCTGAACAAAAAGGGAGAATTTTTTTAAACAAAATTATGAGAGGCTAGTGTTTTGAACTGAGCTCAGGTGCTAGGCCCCAACAAACCAAACCAAACCAAAATGTAGTTGCTTATTCTAAGACTTCAAGGAAACACATAGATCCTAAGAGAGACCAGGTTTTGTTTTTCTCCTGCAAACAGGATGTTCCACCCCCCTACTCAGTCCTTGTTCCCACATTATAAAACCCACTGTTGTTTTACTGTTTCTCAGTGGGTTTCAAGACCAAATAAGTACCTTTACAATGGTGATACTGACATCAGTGACTAAAGTTTTGGTCAATTTCTCAAAAGAGGGGAAATTGTTAAAACAAATTAAATATGGCCTGAGAAGGACTCCATACTAGTCTCTACTAGACAGAGTAGGGTGAGAATTCCATGATCTCGTCCTACTATTGCAGTCCTTGTGGACGAACTATAACCTAACTTAGGAATATGTGCCTGTAAAAATAGCTGAGCCTTGGCCAATCCCAGCAACCCCAAATCAGGCCAGGAGATAAGGTACTTGTTAAAACATGGAAGGAGAGATCACCTGCTCTGGATGATAGTGGCCATTTTTATACTGCCCCCTTCCAAACTTATGGAATCACTTCCTTCATAGTAATTAAGCACAGTCTTTCAATTAATCTCTACAACAAACATTGCTGACAGCATAGGTATCTACCCTATGAGGTTCCTGTTAAATCTTTTAACCAAATTCATTTCCTCTCACATAGAGACCATCAAGCTTCAGAAGATCATGTGACAAGGTTTCTAGTCAGTTCTAGGTGAAAACACCACCCCTGGCCATCAACACGCCACCCTGTCTCCACTAGACAGAGTAGGGTGAGAGTTCCACGATCTCTAATAGGTAGGGACTATGCACCAAGTTGGCATGAAGCTGTTACAATTCCTCATGTCTCTTAGCGGCGCGATGAGGCAGGAAAATAGGGTCTGGAGGCAGGGAACCTAAGGGTTCACCCTGACTTCCTAGAACTAAATCAAAAGGAAAACCCCCAACTTTCCACACCTAAGTAACAAAAGAACCAGACACTACTCCCTTCGCAACCCCAACTCCCCACTTTCTGCTTGGCAGATGGAAAATTGAAAGTACCTCTGATTGGCTTTCTGCAACCAATCAGACGTTTGCATAGGAGTGTAACTTTGCAACTTCACTTCAGCCTCTGATTGGTTGTGGAAAGCATCCAGTCAGACTGATTGTGGGGTCAAGTCTTCTTTTGCATAGGAGTGCAACTTTGTAACTTCACTTTAGCCTCTGATTGGTTGTTTTCTGCATAAGAGTGTAACCTTTGTAACTTCACTTCAGCCTCTGATTGGTTGCTTTCCATAACCAATCAGACTGATTATGGGCCACCACTCATTTACATGGGGTGAACACCAAGTGGCCTATGGGAAACCTCTAGCTGGTATTTGAACCCCAGAAGATTCTGCAAACAGGGGCTTTTGAGCCCCTATGCTCAGGCCTGCTCCCATTACTGTGGAATGTACTTTCGTTTTCAATAAATACCTGCTTTTATTGCTTCATTCTTTTCTTATTTTGTTTGTTTGTCTTAATTTTTTTGTTCAAAATGACAAGAACCTGGACACTCTCAACGCATAATAAGCGAAGATTGTGCCACAGCACTCCATCCTGGGCAAGAATGAGACTGTCTCAAATAAAATAAAATAAAACAAAAATATGAACCAAAAAAATCACCTTTGTGGGCTGGATGTGGCCTTGGTGGTACTAGTTTGCAGACCCTGTGTCAAGCGGCCTGGGACCTAATCTGTATCCTTTGGTACCTGTCACCGATACTGACCTCAGACCTGGACCACTGGGATCCTGCCCTGCACCCTATGCTTTAGTTTTCCCACTCCAGCTGGAGCACATGTTCCCTTCTAGATCATGCTCCTGGTACCCTGGACTCTGGAAATCCTTGTGCAAACAGCCCTGAGCCTGCTTCCAAGGTCTGACTTCCATCTACCCAGGGCAGCCTGCACTGCCTGGCCTGAGCATCTTTAGAATAAAGGATGGCAGGGAAAGGGGTGTGTGTTTTCCTGAATGTGCCGGAGTCCCCCTTCGGTATGTGTGGGATGGGGTCGTGTGGGAATCAAAGCAGCCAGACTACCAGCAAGGGCCCTGCATTTGTACTCTTGCCCCTGGCTAGGCAGTTGTCAGGGGTGGGCCTGTTTGTCACTGCCCCGTGGATCAAGCTGTCAATAAGAGCGACTCCCAATTCACTCCTTACCCTGGGCCAGGCAGTCTGATGCATGCCATCACTTGACTCTAGTGCTGAGAGCAGCCCCGTTTTACAGGCGGAGGCACAGAGGCTGAAATAAGTGGCCTATAGCTAGTGAGTGGCAGAGGCAGGGTTTCAATGGGATCGTTCGTGGCGGGGCAGACTGGCTCCGGGGGCCAACCCCCTGCGGAACCCGTCGGCGCTCCCCGCCTGGGACGGCCAGCCCCGGGGGGGGGCGCAGGCAGGGACCCTCCGCGCCCCCCTCTGTCTGCCGCCCGGGCTGGCCTCCGCGGGGGCGCGAGGAAGGAGTGTCGGGTCGCCAGCGCCCGCCTCCCAGCTGCCCCGGCGCCCGCGTCCCGGCCCCGGCCGCCGGGGGGCCTGGCGGTGACGGCGGCGCCTGGCGGCGGGGATTTGGCGCGGGCCGGGGGCCGGGGCCGGGGCGCGGGGGCGCGGGGCTGCATTCCTCGGGCCGGGCGCTTCCCGGCATGCCCCGCTTCAGGCCCGCGCCCGCCCCGGACTTTGCCATCGGCGGGGTCGTCGCGGGAGCGCAGCGGGATGCGCCCGGAGCCGCGGCTTGAGGTGGGTGAGCCCCGCCGGGCGGCAGGGGGGCTCGGGCGGGCCGCGGCGAGTCGGGGCGGGGGCGCTGGGGGCGCGGGGCTCAGCCTGACCGCTGTGGGGAGGGGAGGCCGGCGCCACAGCTTTGTTCCCGCCGCGGGGCCGCGCGCCCAAAGTTGGGGAAAAGAGTCGGGGCCGCGCCCAGGAGCGCTCCGGGCGGGCTGGGGGTCCCTCCCCCCTTCCTGGGGACGGAGTGGGCGTCCTGGGTGGACGGGCACGGGGAAGCGGGCAGGGTCTTGGGTCTGTTCTGTCCTTGTGGTCCAGAACCAGACGGGAAGGGGGAAAGTAAGGGAGAGAGAGAGAGAAAGAGATTGAGAGAAACAAAAACTCGCCCTGCAACACGCAGGGAAGAATACAGCGAAAGAAAAACACAAAGAAACGCCTCATACACACACACACTGCAGAGAAGGACCGCGAACACACGCTCCGAGGAACATGCAGGAGCTCACTCAGGAGAAGCAGGTCACGCACAGAAACACACTCAGCTCACACGCACTCAGAAACACACTGAGCTCACACACACAAGCACATACAGAAAAACAGCTCACACTCAGAAACACACTCCGAGAAACAGCTCACACACACAGAAACACAGAAAAACACACAGCTCATGCACACTCAAAAACAAACATACTCGGAGAAACACACTCAGCTCACACTTGGCTCACACACCCAGAGAAACACACTCAGAAACGCTCAGAACGTACAGGAAGAGAGGAAACGGTGTGGTCTTGGAAGCCTGGGACAAGGGGAGGAGGAGGGAGAGAAGAGTAAAAAGAGAAACGGAGATAAAGGCAGACTAAGAGGAGACAGAAAGCACAAAGGCCTCAACTGAGGTGGATAAAAGGACTGACAGAGAAACACGTATCTAGAGAAACAGAGGCAGACCCTGATAATTACCCCTCTCACCCACCCTATCCCTCACAAAATCAGAGATATGCACAGATGAAAGAGGCAGATGCCAGGCTTCTCACCCTTGCTGTCAAGTGACCTCGAGGTGGGAGAGCAGCTCTGTGAGACCTTTGAGAAAGGCCTTGGCACTTTAAGCCAGGCATGTCCCAACCTTATCTACCTGGCAAACTCCTGCTCATCCTTCAAAACCTATCTCAAGCATCACCACTGCTGTGAAGAGGGCTTTCCCAGAAAGCGTCATGCAAACCCAGTTACTCTCCTTTCTGTGTTCTTCTGCAGGAAGCACAGGAACGTGGAATTGAAGTGATTTGTCACCTGTCTGCCTCTCCCACCAGCTCCTTAAGATCAGGGTCTCTGTCTTATTTATCTCCAGTCTCCAGTGCATGATGCATAATAAGTGATCAGTAAATACTTAGTGAATAGTGACTGAGAGCGTTTGGACCCTCAAGACATGGAGGATAGAGTTAAGTGCAAATAGAGGAAATGCACCATCCTGGTATTGTGAGAACTCCTAAGTCAGAGTGTCCTTTTTTCATGTAGGGAAATTAAAGCCCAGAGAGGGGAGAATGTTTGCATAGAGGCCAGCAGGAGGCCTGCAATGAAATAACAGTGACTATGTACTTCTGTGAGATGCCCTTGGGCACCTGGCTTATGAGTTTAAAATAGGCGTGAAAGCCCCCTGTTCTCCAGTTCCTCTCTCCAGAGGCAGCTGCTGTTATCAAGTTACATTTTATGTCTGTTTGTGCATATCCATGTGTTTATACCAAAAAAATTTATTCTGTGCACATACTAGTATATACAAATGCACAGATTTCTTTCATTCTTCTTTTGTACACAAATAAAAGAATTCTATGAGGAAAAGAAATAGATGTCAAAGAGTCTCCTGAGTGAAAACAGGCAAGAGGCAATGGACACTTTAATGCCAGTTCTAAGTTTCCAACACTGAAACTGACAATTAGAATCTTTTCAGGACCTTAGCAGTCCTCTTTCTTCCTTGGACAGGAAAAGTGTAGTGAATGTCCATCTCAGTCTAAGTGGATGGCTTTCCACCTCCTGACTGCATATTGGACACATTCTGTAACCTCCCTGAACCTCAGTTTCCTCAACTGTAAAATGGGGTTACTAATGTCCACTTCATAGGATTGTTGGAAGAGTTTACAAAGTACCTGGTGCAGAGTAGATCCTCAGTAAATACAGTTCCATCTTTCCTCCTCTTTAGTGGTATTCTTTTATGCAGGCTTTCATGGATGTGAAAACAACTGCTAGTTAAAATGTTTCCTTTTGCCTAGGGTCTAAAAAGCTGTCTTAAGGCCTGGTGCGGTGGCTCACGCCTGTAATCCCAGCACTTTGGGAAGCCGAGGCGGGTGGATCACTTGAGGTCAGGAATTTAAGACCAGCCTGGTCAACATGGTGAAACCTTGTCTCTACTAAAAATACAAAAAATTAGCCGGGTGTGGTGGTGGGCACCTGTAATCCCAGCTATTTGGGAGGCCGAGACGGGAGAATCGCTTGAACCCAGAAGGCAGTGGTTGCAATGAGCCGAGATCATGCCATTGCAGCCATGGCACTCCAGCCTGGGTGACAGAGTTAGACTCTGTCTCCAAAAAAACACCAAAAAAAAAAAAAAAAATAAGCCATTCTAGTCCAACTGGGGAGCAAATTCTTCTGATAAAGGAAAAGGCAAATTGGGGCATGGCATAAAATGTACCTTGGTTCTCTTCAGGCCCTCAGGTCCCTGCAGGTGTTGTGGAGGAACCTAGCTCCTGCCATCCTCTCCCCCAATTTGCCACTTCCAGCAGGTAAGACCCACTTGTCCCACTGTTTTTCATGCCGTCTTTACCAGATCTGCTGACTTTATGTTCTCTCAAGCTTTAGCCCGTGAGGAGGATGTGAGCGGGACTGAGTCAGGAGCCCCCTGAAGCATGGAGACCGTGGTGATTGTTGCCATCGGTGTGCTGGCCACCATCTTTCTGGCTTCATTTGCAGCCTTGGTGCTGGTTTGCAGGCAGCGCTACTGCCGGCCCCGAGACCTGCTGCAGCGCTATGATTCTAAGTGAGTGAGCCCATGAAGGGGATGGAGTAGGGGTGGGCTCTAACAAAACAAAGAGAGGAGCTCGTAGTTCAGTGTTGGGCAACTCTAACTCAGCTTTTTGGTTCTAAAATGGTGCCTGCAGGTGTCCTTCCCTATAAAGACCTCAGAGTTTGAGAATGTTCCTTAAGTATCCCAACATCCTGAGTCACCTCCTTCTCTGCTTCCTGAGCCAAGAAGAAAGTCGTGGAACATGTTCACCTAGCATAAAGATTCAGCCATCTGTCCCAAACTGGCCACCTCACTTAGCAGTTGGACAAGCCAAATCACTTTCCAACCAGACCCACAGGAACAGCAATCAGATGCCCACACTTTGGCCACACATCTAAGCAACAAACATTTGGTTTTGTGAAATCCCCACTTAGGACTGTCTCTCTCTTTGCACAGCATATTTTTTTGTTTTGGAGATGAAGTTTCTCTCTTGTTGCCCAGGCTGGAGTGCAATGGTGCAATTCTTGGCTAACTGCAACCTCTGCCTCCTGGGTTCAGGTGATTCTCCTGCCTCAGCCTCCCACGTAGCTGGGATTACAGGCATGTGCCACCATACGTGGCCAATTTTGGTATTTTTAGTAGAGATGGGGTTTCACCATATTGGCCAGGCTGGTCTTGAACTCCTGACCTCAGGTGATTCGCCCGCGTCAGCCTCCCAAAGTGCTGGGATTACAAGCATAAGCCACCATGTGCAGCCT